ACCGACGCGGTCAAAGTAGAGGCTTCACGCTACAAAATAAGCTGACGTAGATAGTCGAGCGATTTTTTTCTACAGAGTTATACTGGTTTGAATATCAACAGTGTTTCACACGTGAGATTTAATGATCGTTATTCCTATATAATGCGCACAATGCCCATTCAGAGAACGGCAACAGTGACAAATAATCGTAATTCAACGTTTTTGAGCTCGTTGGAAAGAGGAGACTTCACGCTATAAGCTACCGTTGGTTTCATTCGGTAAAAAATTTTTTCGAAGTTCTGAACGATCTTCAAAGTTGATAAAATTTTTATAAAATTAACACTGTTGCAAATTTCTCAGCTGCCATCGTCACGGTGATTCTAGATTAAAATAATTAAAACAGTCGAAAAGTAGAGACCTTCTCCTTTAAAATAAGCTCAAGAACGTTGCCCCACGATTTTTTCCAACAAAGTTACAGCACATTGAATTTGGTCGACTTCCGTTCAATTTTTAGCTGCCGCGTTGGGACCTCAGAAACTTGCTGAATGTACGCTCTCGAATCAAACAGCGATAAAATGGCGCCAAAAAATTCTAGAACCGACTTTTTGCTCTCGCTGGAAAGAGAAAACTTCGCCCTTCAAGGATCCGGTGGTTTCGTTCGCGAAAAAAGATCGCGCTGACCCGTAGAATCGTTGAATGTTCCGCATTGTCGTAACCAAAGTTCTGCAAACCTTCGTTAATTTCGGTCCGGTTAATTCGTCACACAGAAGGATTTACCGCCGACAAAACGGTCCCCGTTGGCCTGGATCCGACACCGTCGCGGAGCCGTAATGATCGACAATGGCGCCAGGTGCTGGTAGAAAAATAGATTAATTAAAGCCGCCGGTAAACCCTCGGAGCACTCAAGGCAAAGTAAACAGGCGTCGGGCGCAGCGAGTTGGCTGAATTTCGTATCCCGGATCCCGGCGGCTGGGATCATTGTGGAGCGGGTTAGTTCTAAAGTCCCGGAGTACAATTATCCGTTATTATACGCGCTATCGTCTCGCACATTGTTATGTAATTCCGCAAGTTCGGCCGTGTAACGCTTTAAGGAACGCGTCGTAGACGCGGGCTCGGCGAGAACAGCCTCCGGAGCTGTCGGAGTCTTGGCCGAAAAACCTCTTCTAACCGAGTTCCGCGCGCTAAGTCCGCTCCGGAACGGCTCGAAACGTCTCGAAACACCGTGCGCGGACCGTGGTACAATTTCATCCCGGCGGGGGCACCGAATTGTCCCAGGTAAATTGAAACGCCGAGCTGCGCAGGCTGCAACGGTCGACGTTACGGAAAATAATTTCAGAACCGGCCGGAGGAACTTAAATATTAATTAATGGAATCGCAACGGTGTTGCGAGGCGCGAGCCCGGGCTCTTTTCACGGGCGAAGCACACTTCTCCGCTGATTTATAAAATGGCAACAAGCCGAATGAAAAAGCGCGAGCACCGTCGTCCGCGAGATGAAAAGCATCACTTTCCGACAGACGTTCCGTCCCGGTTCACAGAGATTCGTTTAATTAATACCAGCAAATAAATATTCTCGGTCGATGGCTGCACCGGATCGCGTTGCAGGCTGCAACTTCAAAGGGAGATCCCGCCACAGCGGGCACGTGGCTGCACAGACGAGCGTGTTCCGCAGCTACGGGCGCCTCTGCAAGGAACCGCGGGGCACCGAGAACGGCTGAGAATGGCCGCGAGTATCGACTTTTTGTTCTTGTCGAACGTAATCAAGCCGTAAGTGGCGCTCGAGGAACTAGACGACACGGAGACTTGAATAGAAGTTCGATGCAACGGGGAGGGAAAAAAAAACGGCATCGTGCGAAATGGTCTAGACTGTCCCCGCCCCCGCCCCCCTCCCCGTCTACGCCGAGTCCATCCGTCGATATCGGTTTCCAATAAAACGGAAACGCGAAACACACCGTGGAATTTCGTCCATTAACCAGGATGACGAATACCGAATTGAATTTATCGCGTTCTCGTGGCCGCCCCGGGCGGATCTTTCGCGACCAGCCCGTCTTGCACCGAGCCCGCGGTGTCGCGGAATATTACTCGATAAATTACCGACACTTTACGGGGTGATACCATTTTTCCGGGGCGACGGTGTAATTCTCAATAGCGCGGATCCCATGCGTCATCGCGGGCGGCCGCGATCGTCGCGGTCCCTGAAACCGGTCCAGAGAGACATTCAGCCGTGTGACGGCTTTGTTTTCAGAAGCGTATTCCGGTTTCGAGATATATCGAGGCAATTTCCCGAGGCCGTTCGAACCTCGGCCGTGCCCTGAAATCTTTAACTGCGAGGGAATTCGACGTTACGATTAACCCTTTCGGTGCGAGCGCGTTGTTCGCCGTGACACTCCCACTGTACGGGGTGCACATAACGCAGGGTCATTCCACTTTTGTACGAAGATTTTCTTAAGCGTTAAGTGACAACTGTGCTTGATCCGTTTCTAAATCTTTCTTTAAATGTTTCCTGTAAACATTCTGTAAAGGGCATACAGAAATATGGCTTTCATGGATGCCAGATGTATTCGGCACTCGTCCATATTGGTCATCGGATGGATGCCGGATATATCCGGCGTTCGTACCGAAAGGGTTAATTATTACGAGTCGGACGAGACGGGAGAAAATTTTCGAAGCACCGAAATGTTTAACACAAAAGGGAATACCGAGATCGAGGTATCGGCGAACGAGAGGCGACCGATTATTTTTTCGCCTCGCCCGAAAGCCAGAAGCTCTAGATCGGTCGGAAACCGGGCGGGAAATCGAAAATCGGGACACGGGGGGCGATCAGCCGCGATTAAACCGAAGTCGATGGAGCGCCGGATCCCGCGGAAAATAAAATTCCACTGGGACACGCTCGATTACCCGCGACTCGAGCGCCAAATTGGGGGAATTAAAGCATATTTAATGGGCGTAGCAAGACGGAAAGCTGCGGTCTATCGATCGCGTTTGTCGTATCGGTGGCGCGGGGCCCTCGAAAACTCCCGGCCCGTTCGAATTCATTGGCTGGGAAAGAAGATTATTTTGCTCGGAGCGTAAATTACTAGCACGGACGACCGCCGGAGGACTTGAATGGATCGGCTGCGCTCACCGGGATTGTTCCCCTCGATTGTGAACGGTGAAAGGGTGGCGGTGGTGGCTCGGTTCGCCGGCAGTAGGGAGAGTGACCTTCGGAAGGCAATTAAGTTTGTTGCATCCGAGAGATCCGGAGGAGTCGTTTTACTTTTGAAAGAAGGCTCGAAGGCCCTGCCATTTATTGTCGAGGGGAGGCGCTCCTTCGTTTGAACGACGACCGCTGGCAATTGCTTGCGGAATTGATTCGGTTGATTGCTCGAGAACAGTTTTCCCACTTCGTCGCACAATGAAACAGAAGTGGCTCCGCCGAACCACCCTGTACAATCATTTTAACGCTAAACGCGCCGACGTCGAAAAACCACCGTTGCCTCGTGAAATTTGTGCGATCATAGTTGTTTAAATTTTCCTACAATTTTTATAGCGGCGTGCGCCTGAATACGGAAATGAGGAGAGTTCGTGGAAAACAATGTAATCTTTTCGGAGGAAGAGAAAACACTGCTATCATCAAAATATTAACAATAGCTCGAATTGCAAAATATCGCAATAGTTTGAAAATATAAGAAAGCTTTTTATTTCTTACATTAATTAGTTTACGGAGGAAAGAATTGTTTTTTGGAGAAAAGTCTGTACGTGTCGCATTCTATTTGTATAAAGAACCGAATGTCGAAAAACCACCGGTACGGGTTGCCTCATGAAATTTGTGCGGTCATAGTTGTTTAAATTTTCCTACAATTTTTGTAGCTGTGTGCGCCTGAATACGGAAATGAGGAGAGTTCGTGGAAAACAATGTAATCTTTTCGGAGGAAGAGAAAACACTGCTATCATCAAAATATTAACAATAGCTCGAATTGCAAAATATCGCAATAGTTTGAAAATATAAGAAAGCTTTTTATTTCTTACATTAATTAGTTTACGGAGGAAAGAATTGTTTTTTGGAGAAAAGTCTGTACGTGTCGCATTCTATTTGTAAAAAGAATCGAATGTGGTTGTTACATTGTTTTCTAGAAAAACGATGCTAGACGTGCAGGCGATATCTATACTAATTTTATTGGCACATAGAATATTTTAAGAAGAACATACAAAATTTTTCAATCTTGGCACTTAACCCTTTCGTGGGCACAATATGAATTTTTTAAGACGGCAGCACATCTCAACGGTGGGAATATTTAAGCCTGGCGTCCATACGCGCGCTAAAAGTGAGCGGATAACTTAGTTCCCAGTGCCTATGAAAGGATTAACAGTTTTCAACTGTTGCAACACATCGCAGATTACTCTTCCTGACATGTTCTGCGCAAACTATGCTGCTTTCAGTGCAGATTTCAAGATCCTTTGCTTGGACAGGTATCAGTTCGCGTCGCGTGCAAATTGGTCAAAAGCGGAACTCCATTTCGAAGCGCGATACTCTCGACCCTTCGTGATCATCTCCGAAGTCTTAGCATAGGATATAATTGTTCTGGAAATTACAAACATCTGAAGGGTTAATAGCGGCCGAGACCCGGCCGATGTCTACCTGCACACGATTTTGATGAATCCGTGGAATTGTGGGCGCAGATATTGATTACACTTTGACCCAGATTCGGTCGTCGCGTAGCTTCGTTAACGGTTTCGAGGGGATGATTGGAAAAGAGATACATCTCGAAAAAAAATAGAGGCAGCCGACGGGCACAAGGGTATGAAAGGAACACGGTTTCTTACCGGTCCGGTCCGGTAAAATGGATGTCGCGCGTCGATAGGATCGGCGACACTGGTGATACGCTATTGCGACCGCTCTTAGGGCAATTTTTCGGTTCAGTTCTTTCGTTCACTTCTTTGAGGCAGGCCTCCATCGGTGCCGCGTTATCGTCAGAAAGATTCCGATCTTCCCTGACAAGTGTTTCCAGTGCGTTGCACTGTAAATAATGAAAATCGTACTCACCGGAGCTGTTCACTGTAGGGGAGGCTGAAGGCTGTGCGCAGAGGACGTGCGTGCCTCCCAGGAGTGCCAGAACGAGCCGAAAAAACTTCATCCTGATCATGGTTGCGTCACTATTCCATGGACCTTCTGAAACAAACACGAGAAAGTTGTTTAGCGAGCTTGAAGCATAGCCGAGTTCGATAGAACACTGTTCAAAATTTCAGTCGATTCTAATTGAGCTGATGTGGCAGAAAAATTGTGAAGGTGGATCTCTAAAGTAGGTCTAAAATGTGTAGATCAATGAGACAATTGTAATAATATTTCTTTATAATAATATTCCTTAATATCCCTTGCTTAGTTCTCTCGAGCACACGTTTCCCTAACTCGAACTCAGGGCAACTCTCAATTGCCTTTACACACTGTGTGCACTGCTCTCTCTCTCTTTTTCATACACACACATACACTCGTCACACTCATACGAATATCCTAAACATAAATTCTTCAGAATTAACTTGTAACAGAGACCTTAATTGAATCTGATTGTGTTATCGTAGCCCGAAAATTGTGCGGCTGGATCCAATCCAAGTTTAATTACATCTAGAACTATAAGAGGACCCGGGAAATGCCCTAACACGAACCTCGGTGTCCACGATAATCAGGAACGGTCAGGTCTCGTTCGAATCAAAGAAGAAGCATTCGTGCCTGGCGAATACCGTCGAACCCAGATCAACCGCGACCGAAGAATCGCATTTCCTTCGATCCGAAGGATCGCGAATGACAAGGGATTTATGCCCACACGTCCCGGCACCCATACGTCGCGCAAGTTAATCGTAAATTGTTCCCGCCGCGGACTCTTTCGGCCGCGAGTCAGACAGGACATTTATTTCCTCTGTTCACGGTGGCCGTGATTTACGATCCCCTGAATCGGTTTCGTCGATTCCCCGGGATCGCGGCGGAGCATTAACGAAGCCTTTCCGCGACCATTACTCGCCGTTGGGGCTCCCTGGCCCTCTCTCGGAAGATCGAATCGCCTCTCTTTGAGAATGAGATTTCCGTGGATCCGGGACGTGGTCCGCATTCGGGCTTCCTTTATTTAAGCCGGAATCCCCTTGTATCTCTGGGCCGGGAGCTAAACATGAATATAGATGCCGCGCGAAGAAATCACCGACCTCGAATACGGAAACCTAGCCACCGTCTACCTGCAGGTGAAAATCAGTTGCACGGTCGTATAGACCGTCGCAATTCGTAGCTATTTTCTTTCTATCGACGTAGACACGACGATGGTTTCGCAAGATTTTATTCGGCTGCCGGATGAAAGATAGAATTAACAAATAGAATTATATTCGAGAAATAATTCGCTCGAATAAAGAATAATAATATAATATAAATTAATAAAATAATATAATATAATATAAATAGATAGAATAATTCATGATTAATAATGAACTATTCGACTAGAATAGACCGATATAAACCGTTGCAATTCGTAGCTATTTTCGCAAAATTTTATTCGGCTGCTGGATGAAAGATAGAATTAACAAATAGAATTATATTCGAGAAATAATTCGTTCGAATAAAGAATTATACTAATATAAATAGATAGAATAATTCATGATTAATAATGAACTACCCGACTAGAATAGACCGATATAGACCGTTGCAATTCGTAGCTATTTTCGCAAAATTTTATTCGGCTGCTGGATGAAAGATAGAATTAACAAATAGAATTATATTCGAGAAATAATTCGTTCGAATAAAGAATTATACTAATAAATAGGTAGAATAATTCACGATCAATAATGAACTATTCGAGTAAAATGTCCGACTAAAATAGACCGGTATAGACGGTTACAATTCAAAGCTATTTTCTTTCTATCGACGTGGACACGATGATGTTTTCGTACAATTTTATTCAGCTGTCGGATGAAAGACAGAATTAACGAATAAAATCACATTCGAGAAATAATTCGTTCGAATAAAGAATTATACTAATAAATATATAGAACAATTCATGATGAATAACGAATTCTTCGAATAAAACGTCCGACTACAATAGAGATGCGCGTACAATATTTATTATACGAATTAGTAAAGACTTAATTCATTCTCCGTCCACCGTAAGAGGAATCTCGTTTCGGGCATGAGACGGGTAAGAGGCATGTCTGAAGCCCTGCTTAACTTTTGGGATATCTATTACCTTAATTAAATTCCCGTTCAATTACTTTAATTGTTTGCAGCACACAGCAACGTTAACCAGTCTCGACGAAATGTTCAGCACCCATACAAATGATCCAGACCTAAAAGGAACATCGTCGAAACTTTCGTTACATTCTCAGACAAAGTCAAACAAAGCTGTGCGACTTTTTTGTCGCTCCAACCGATCGCAGTGTAAGCAAAAATCTTTGCACGCATTGTCTGGCTCTTCAATCATCTCGGAGAAAGATTCGCCCCTATGGTTCAATTTTAGAGAAGTTATTCCATCCTAAAATATGTCCCTATATATTTGTCCTCGACCGTACCTAAACCTTCGCCTAAACCGGAGTGAGTAGGCGCTATCAAGAGGATTCCGGGTCCTCAAGGTAACCAGATTCGACTTTGCAACCATAAAAGTCTCTCCCCTTGCCGAAATGATCGCGCTTTGGACTCTCGTTAAATTACGAGAGAGAGAGAGAGAGAGAGAGAGAGAGAGAGAGAGATAAAGAGAGAGAGATAAAGAGAGAGAGATAAAGAGAGACAGAGAGAGAGATAAAGAGAGAGAGAGAGAGAGAGATAAAGAGAGAGAGAGAGAGAGAGA